GTTAGTTGTTGCATCTCATAACCTTAGATTGCAGCATATGGAAAAATTATTTCTGGTTAAGACAATGCAAGGCCGATTGACAGATGCTGTCCTCCCCATGTCCCAGGGCTGCTCAGACAACTATTGCTGCTTCATTATCCTGAAGGAGATGGGGTTTGGTTTTTTCTCCATTTTTGAGGGGAGTAGGTGGAAGGTACTAAACAAAACCTCTCAGAAGATAGTATCTTAGAAACAAAACCACTACACTTCTGAGATTCCCTTTTTTGCAAGGGGAATAAAGAGTAACCACTGTACGTTGGAACTGTAGCTGAAGATGTTTTAGTTTAGGGCGGATATGCCAGCCAGTTTTCCCTTGATGGTTTCAGGTGCTGCAGAGCTGGGGGAGAGGTGGCAGGGATCCCCTACCTCCCAAACTTTCGCAGGGGGCATTGCAGTCCCACAGACACCACTGCTGCATTGCAACCCATGCACACAAGGATTTATGGAGGAGTCCGCCCTGACTGAATCTCAAAAAAATCCCTTGTGGTCTGAAATGTCATTTTAAGCTCTATTCAGTGGTTCACACTTGCAAAGTGGATTTTAAATAAGGAAGCAGCAACAGCAACCCTCCTGGGCTGCTGGAAGGAGGGGTGTCTCACCCTTCCATCGGGGACAGGACTGTATGACTGCTCTGAGGCATGGCATTTGCTCATACGTAATTTCTTTATGCGACCACTGATGAAACCCACACTGCCACTGTGCCTGCTTCAGAAACTGAGCACATTTCTGAAGATGTCACTCAAAAGCCAGTAGAGACATAAATTTTAATGAATACATTGGGTTACCTACTTGAGATATTCCCAGCGATGGGATAACCTAACATTTGGAATAGCTAGAAAGAGCTAACAATAAGGAGGAAGAGTTGCCATTCAAGATCAAACTTTGAAAAAAGCTCAGCACATGATCTTTCTATTGTAATAGTATAAGCATTCAAGAAGAATGTACTTGGTTTAAATTATTTCTTCAGATGGAGATCCAAGACAGTATTTCCCCATATTGAGTATCATTTTGCCAGGGGTAAGCAGTCAAAGATCTCTCCCCCAGCCAGACTGAGAACATCTGGAAAGACCGTCTTCAAAGAAATAGGAACAAGAGAAAAAGAAGCTAAAAAGAAGGGGACTACCTTTTGATTCACACAAACATCATGGTTCTAGAGGGGCACAGTTTTTCGGAGTAGTCTGCAAATATGCAAAAGGCCTGGAGAAACTCCAAGTGCAAGTGGCTGGAGATCTTGCAAGACTGCTTGAAATGAAACTACTGAAAATGGATCAAAATCTGACAAAAGCCAAAAATGTTTCTGATGCAGCAAGGGACTGAGGATGTTGGGCATGCAGCCTGCAGGAAGGACAAGCCGTGCCAGACTGACATATCACAGAAATTCTATCTTCATGAACACAGCTACTGAGGGAATGTCATCAGGAACTATGTGAGAAGGGAGGACTAGTTTAACGTGATGGCACTTTGAAGTCATTCTCTAGCCTAATGCTAAATCTTCATACCCAGGTTGCTGTCTTGGGAAATGAACTCTGAATAATCAAAGCTGATTAAGCAACTGAAGAGACAACTGAAAATTTTCCAAGGAAGCTTGACTCCAAGATAGTCAAACAGCAGCTCACAGGTCCCAACCTGCAACCTTCTACAAACTTCATTGCTGTTCTACAACTGGCAGATCTCACAGCTCTGCTTCTCCTACAGCCAGTTAGCAAATAGAAGAGGGGGACACCATCTATAAAAATATTTCACCTAAGCTTGCTCAATAAACACAGGTTGCTATGTTTATGCTAACCTTTCAAATCTAAGTTGAATATAAGCATCATGCTGGGAGTGGAGAAGAGCAGAATGTTTCATGACTTCTTCGCAGATTTCAAAACCAAATCTGCTCAATTTGATTATTGGTAACTTTTAAGGAACACACAGTAGATGGGACAGATACCTGCCAGCAGCTGGCAGAATGGGAAATTGAGGGCCTCATTTTCTTTTTCCTCATTCTCAAAAAGTGAGGAAAAACTACTTGAAATTTGAGGTGAACAGGCTGTTCTCCCTCTAATCCCAGCACAGGAAATATCTGCAGGTTGGCATGGCATTACAAGGGAAGCACCTCATTGCCCAATTCTTGCACTTTTCTAGAGAATTGCTCAGGGCTGAGGATTTTGAACGCGATATTCTCAATCGTAACTCTCTCTGTACTCTCATCTTAGCCTTCTGCCAGGGCTTTTTTGAGTAGTTGATACAAAACTTCACAACACAAGATTTGGTAGACAATGGCATGGAAAACCAGTCCACTTTGGCAGTCTGCACTCATTTTCTCTTCCAGCGTTGCCTTGAGAATATATGCTGCCTCAGTAGCAAATATATGGGCAGAAAAATAGTCATGGCACTCACTCATTCGGGCTCACATTTTCCATCACACTTTCTTAACAATTCAGTGAACATCCTTTTTTGTGACTACTACTGTAAGATTTACAGCATTTGTTCTCTCAGACTGTCCTAAAACATACAGTCTCAAGTACTGTAACCTTTTAATTGAAGAGACCAGGCTTACTATAAAATTGAGTTATCCCTACATTTAAGTTGTTTCACTCAATTTCTATGTGTAGGAGGCTACATATCTAACAGAAGATGAGAAAACCCCAACACCACAGGTGTGGATGATCACTCAGTATTCCCCTTTCTACATTTAAAGAAATGATTCAGAAATTTGTTTCTACTGACGCAAAAATCATCACCTCAAGCTATAATTTACTGAAGATCAAGCCTTTAGAAAAGATACTCCTTCATGAGAAATAACATTAGTTTGCCAGTACTATGTATTCAGCTATGAATTGGTCAATAAAAGTTATCACATCACTCATGGTAGTGGCATTTAAAGAAACCACAGATGGTATACAGGCTATCAGCGATTTTATTAAAGTATTCCTCTGCTTCAATACAACTTAACTCAAGTGTAAACAAAGCAGAATCATCACAATCAGAGCACATATGTGCTATAAAATTATTAGTTCACAGATGTTTACTTCCAGTACTGCACAACTGAAAACGTCCAACTGATGATAATAGCTTCTAGTAAACTTTGAACCAAGCCACAATCTCTGCTTGGCAGCATGTCAATAATGAGAGGACATCTATTTCTTGATTATTTTACTTCCATATTGTGAAAACCAAAGCAATGGTGAGGCAGAGCACTATGGTTTTGCTGATAGGCCTCTCTACTCTTAGATTTCTGATTGAGCCCCAGAAGGACTTACAGGACTGTCACCATGATATAAATGGCTGTATTTACAAAAACTCATTAGATGTAGTTTCTCAGGATTGCAGACATTAATCAAGAAACAAAACAGGACTTTTTAAAGATGTCTGAAGGCAAACACCACAGTTTACTGGACAAACTCCTGAGGAACTCTGGCCATCTGAAGTGGCCACAGGGACCACTTCACACCTCACAAAAGCAGTGTAGCAGAAAGCAGCGCACCGCTCCAAGACAGTTCTCAAAATAAGGAAACTTGTGCCATCGTTAGCCCTACTTCTGACAGCAACTCTAGTTTTCCATTGGCATTTCTTATGTCAACTCACCCAACTTGGACATGCTGAACTTGAAACACATCGGGCAGGAAGGCAATAATAAGAAACTAAGAAAGTCATAGGAGAAGTAGGTGCAAGACATGGAGCCTTCAGAGGAAAGCAGTTGACTGGAGGATTTCCAGCAGGACAGACAGAAACTCACTGTAATAGAAGCTAGGTTTACATGGTCAAAGGCTGGAGTAGACAGGGCAAGAGTCTGGAAAGGTCAGAGCAGACCCCATTGAGACTGCAGAGCAGGCCACAGAAGCACTGAGCCTCACCAACCCATGTCCTCCACACAGGAGAGTGACAATTTGGTGTTGGTTGGTGTCATACACTCTGTTAGGACAGGGACAAAGACGCTAGCAGCTCTTCTAATGAGTAACAGATGCAAGTAGGAAGTTCTACTCCTTCACACACACACATTTTGGTTTCGAGGGTTTTCACATGCAAGCCACACAAATACGCATGTATCAAGGTAGCAGTTAAGCGGCAGAACCAAGGAGGAAATTGTCTTAATACAGTCCCCTTGTGATGAAATCAATAAAGCTGAACAGCGTGTACACACATCTTATCCTCTGTAATACTCCCATCTTATTAAGTGCATAGTATAGATTCAGAGGAAAAATACACTGCTCCCTCTGGACATCTTTCTTCCATCACTGCAGAAGCTGAAGGAAGCAGCAGAGACTAAGATGCTGGCAGACACCAATCTTTTAAGCTATGAATTATTCTTCCATGCCTCTAATTTGAGAACCACAGAATATTCACAGCTTACCAAATGAAATCAATCAGGATGTGTTTGAACATAAGTGATATATAAATGTTATGTATTCTGAAACATTAGGTCTTTTTCACTTGAAAAAGACAACACTTCAGGTGGAAGATATCTTTGCCCTACATTTCCTGATTCTCCATCTGCAAAAAGGAGTGCCCTTTCTAACCTTTCACCTCAAATAGCTGGAAGGAAGGAGGAAGAGAGGGCGGCTACATATGTGAAGAATCTGGCACAAGGAAATTTAATAACACTGTTGTCAAAGCCAAGTACTAATTGCATGCAACAAAGGAAAACCAGCCAGATTCTTAAAGAATGAGAATCACACATTAGTAAATGTCGGCTCAGTATGTAAGCACTATTTCCAAGCACACTGAAAGTGCAATCCTTGAAGAGGAGAAAAAACCCTATATAATTATAAAGATGATATATTGCTATGCATAAGGGGCATAAAGATCATAAACTTCTCAAAAAAGCATGATATGGTTTACATGCAACACCCAGTGCAATGGTGACAGAATATGTGTGTTCACAAAGTTAGAACAATGCATGTTTTCATGCCGATTCCCAGGGAATAATGCAGTCAAAAAAAACCCCAAATCCAAAAACAACACTTAAAATTCCATACCTTGATTATTTCCACCAACTGATCCACACCACTATCACCTGGAAAGATTGGTTGTCCTAGTAACAGTTCAGCCAATACACAGCCTGCTGACCACACATCTAAAAAGGGGAAAGAAGTGGAAGACAGGGAAAGGTATATATTAGGCCATTTATATAAAAAAACCAGTAGTTTGAAGCTACTTACTTTATTTGCCATGTTTAATGCTGTATATAACGCAGCTAAAAATAAAAAACATTCCTAAATGTTAATCTAGAAAACACAGATACCTGGCATAAAGCAGTGATGGGCAGACAGAAGTCAAACCATTAGACAATGAGAACAGGAAAATAATGTTAAATGCTGTAATATATTGACATTAAAACTTATACACATAGGGAAAAGACCTGAGAAGATTTGCGATCTGAAAATTAAGAATTTTCCAAAATCCTGTGTTGTTTTTAAATCACATTGATCATGAACTATGCATAGGTATCATTTACCACAACGGCTGATGTTTTTACTGTTTCGGAATGTTGAATAGACTCCTGTTTTCATTCATATACTGAAAGCATATATACACAAGCACATGAACCAGTACTGCAAGTATTACTTGTGTCCTGTAGTACATGATGATTAAGGGATCTGAGAGACAGCCTCTCTAACTTGGTCACATCAAAACCTAATCTTTATCCCAATTCCATTTGCAAACTTGGCTGGACAACAGAAATGCAAAGTCATCGATCAGGTCAACAGCATCCATGGAAGAAACTATCAACTAATTTTCGTACATATACCAAAAGCCACAAGTAGTCACTAGCAGCTACTCCTATACACAAATAAAAGTTTCATAATCTATTACAGGTATATCTTCTTACATATAAGTAAGACAATTCAATACTACCCCAGCAACTGAAGAATGTATCTAAGTATACTACAGAATATAGCATTTTATTTTCAAAACATAGTTAATCCAAACAAAAAACCTAACAAAGCAAATGCAGTAAGCACTGCATAGCAGATGGTTGTAAGAATTTGCTGTAACTGCACACTAAATATTGAAGTTTAAACTGCTCAACACACTAAAAGTATTGCACCTAGATGCAAGGATAAGTGTTTCTCCAAAAAAATAGATGGACTATAAAGTTTTCTGGAAAGTCATCATTTGTTCAATGTCTATCTGAAACATTGCACTAAAATCTAACCTCAAACAAGCAATAAGTAACAGAAGATTTGTAAAGTCTACCATACTGTAATGCCCCCAAAAGGAAAAGAACAAAACCAGTCCCCTTCCACCCATCTTTCTTTGAATTCTTGCCTATTTTTATGATCTAACCTTCCCCTGCAAGATAACAGTAGCACCACCACAACTCAAAACCCAGAGAATTTACCTCCTGAGGCATGTTCCAACCTCGGATAACCCATGCTACAACACAGATCCTTATTCTCCTAGTGTATTTAAACTATGCCACTGGGGATCAGGATACACACAGCACATTCAGTTATGGCTAAAGATCTGTGTAAGGAAAACATCTCTGACAGTTCTCTAAACAGTCTATTATCACTTTGTCACAACCACTAGAGACTGATGCAAAAAATAATTAAAAAACCCAAAACCTTTCAGGAATTCAAGACTGATAAAATAACCTGCAAGTTAGAACAGATTTTTCCTTCCCCCATTTCTAAATGAAACAGAGAGGGGCTATGCAAAAATACACCCCCTTCTTCTCAAGAAAGATATGGTTCAATCATAACATACGATAGACAAAACGCACTGCTTATTACTGCAGCTTTCAGAATCATTCACCTCTGAGTCAAACGTATGCATTTTTACATAATGCCTTAGTACAAAGATCACATCAGGGTTTATCCACACGAATAACTACCTACAATGCAAACAGCAACCATAAATAATCTGAAGTTTGAGTCTTGAATCTCAACAAGCAAACAAAATCAGATTACACTTTTTTGATCTTTTAGTCACATTTAATAAAAGCTGCTATGGCCAGCAAGGTGTTAACGTCTCTGCTGGACAACAAATGAAGAGGTATCATGTGAAGAACATTTAATTGCATCTGACTGCTAAATAATCTCTCTCTCTGATAGCTCCTGCTGTTGGACCAACACATACAAGAAAAAGATGATACAAAGAATCACTTTTTATGTCATCCTATGCATACTGGATTTATAGGAAATTACACAGCAGTTCAACAGATACATTTCTTCAGACATACTGAAGAAACAGATCAAATGTACTAAGCAGAATACTGTAACTTAAAAGTCTACTTAAAGGCAATTTAAAAGAGTTCTGAAAAAGCCGAGTCCTTTACACTGAGTATACAAAACAAGCGGTACACCCAAAGCTATAATCATTATTTACAACTTCAATTCTTATTTTTCACTGAAAAAGAAACAATACATAGGGAGCAAAAGCATTTGACAGAACGTACACAAACCCAAAGCTGACACAAGAGTAATTCAGCATTCACAACTCACTTCCTTTCAAAATTTTCAAACTACACTAGCATGATTTTTTTTTTTTTTTCAAATGAGACTCTGGCTTTTAAAAACTGTTTTAAATAACCTTCTGGTCTGGCTGCTCCACAAAATTGGCTTTGTGCTGTTTTATCCTTTCCCAGTCCCCCTAAATGCCTTTGCACTCCATCAGCCAATTTCAGACAAGTCTGAGAGGCAGAAGTCTCAAATCCATTGCAGAAGTTTTGTAAAAACAGCGGGGAGAACGTGCATCAGTGTTGCTGCTGAGGCAGGAGAGCTCAGTCCCTGTGGGACACACTGGGCTTGCCCCTATCCCGCCAAACTGCAGCTGCAAACAAGTCAAAGGACGTACAAGGTCTCGAGGTCCTTCCTCAGGTAAGAAGGCCAAGCAGAAACAGCAGAGGGTGCAAGAGAAAGCTCAGGGCATCGCAAGGGGAGGGAGGAGGAAAAGAAAGGATGTAGGTCATGAGGAAATAGCTGGGGAAGTCTAAAGAATACTTGCTGCATTCGTGATGGGTTTAATCCATCAAACATACACAAATCTATCAGAAACCTAGGTAGTTGTTCCTTGTGCAGTGAAATGTTCCAAATTGGGTGATTTAATGTCTTGTTAAAAGTGTATTTAGTTCTCCTTGATTTTGCTTGCCAACATTTTAAACACGCACTGAAATAAGCTACAGGCATTCCAAAAACCCCAACTTTTTTCCAGGAGTGCAATTTCACCAACTTCCAAATCAGGACTTGGGCAACGTTCCCTGGGCAAGGAAGTGAACAAACCCTTGAAGCATCCTCAAGGAACGCTAAAAAGCAGAGGCTAACTTCAGCAGCTCCAAGCAGGGACAGCAATGAAACACAATTTACATAGGTGTTTATACAATTCTGGTGAGCAATGTACAATAAGGAAGAAACTGGGGAAATTTCAGCTCTGCTGAAACTCAATGGAATTTATGCCATCAACTTATTAACAGGACTAAAATTTGGCTCCAGGATGGTTTATTTTCTCCTTTTAATCTGGCATTTTAAAATTTATCTTCCAAATTTGGATTGTAACATTTTTCTCAAGCCTGAAGAAAACAATGTGCTAAATTCTATATTTAAAGACATGTTACTTAAGAGAAATGATAGGGTAGTTAATATTAGTTTTTGACAGTTCCTTCACAGACCATATTCTGCCAGCACAGTCACAGCTAACTATTATAGTTTAATAATCTCTCAGAGCAAGCTTGTGGTGTAACTACCCACATGGGAGGAGAAGCATTTTCTGAACTATTTCTTTTTAATATGTGCAATTTAATTAAGGCAAAATATGACTATCATTCACATGCTTTAAACTAGTTAATAAAGAAGCTAAGAGAGAATCACAGAATGGTAGGGGTTGGAAGGGACCTCTGGAGATCATCTAGTCCAACCCCCCTGCTAGAGCAGGCTCATCTAAGCAGGTTGCACAGGATGGCATCCAGGTGGGTTTTGAGCATCTCCAGAGAAGGAGATTCCACAACCTCTCTGGGCAGCCTGTCCCAGTGCTCGGTCACCCTCAGAGTGAAGTTGCTTTTTCTCACATGGAGATGGAACTTCCCGTGTTCCAGTTTGTGCCCTTCGGCTCTTGTCCTGTCACTGGGCACCACTGAAAAGAGTCTGGCCCCATCCTCTTGACAGCTGCCCTTTTGATATTTATACGCGTTGATGAGATCCCCTCTCAGTCTTCTCCAGATTAAACAGACACAGCTCTCTCAGCCTTTCCTCATAGAGATGCTCCAGTCCCCTCATCATCTTTGTAGCCCTCCACTGGGCTCTCTCCAGTAGTTCCCTGTCTTGAACTGAGGAGCCCAGAACTGGACACAGCACTCCAGATGAGGCCTCACCAGGGCAGAGCAGAAGGGGAGGATAACCTCCCTCAGCCTGCTGGCCACGCTCTTCTTAATGCACCCCAGGATCCCATTGGCCTTCTTGGCCATGAGGGCACACTGCTGGTTCATGGAGAGCTTGTCCACCAGGACTCTCAGGACCTTCTCTGCAGCGCTGCTTCCCAGCAGGTCAACCCCTAACCTGTACTGGTGTTTGGGGTTATTCCTCCCTAGGTGCTGCACCCTACACTTGCCCTTGTTGAATTTCATATGGTTCCTCTTTGCCCAGGTCTCTAGCCTGTCCAGAACCTTAACAGAAAACAAGAATAAAGTCAACAAATCATCCTTATGCCAAACTAGTTGGGACAATGTGAAATATTAGGAGAAAATACTGAAAGCTATTAATTTTATGCAGAAGAAAGTAGATGAGGCTACTGTCTTCATACCTTCAGTGAAATGTAATCTAAACAATATGGATAGTAAATACAACTGCCAGCCAAGAGCAACCTTCAAATAAGCTTATTTCAGATAGCTTTCACACATTATAACAGTAGCTAATGCCATATCTTTTGTAGACTGAAGGCCACTTGGACAAATACCATTATCACATGAACTACCTGCATTAATTTAAGCACACAAACATTCACATAACCTCTTATCATAGAATGGTTTGGGTTGGAAGGGACCTCAAAGATCATCTAGTTCCAACCCCCCTGCTACGGGCAGGGACACCCTCCACTAGACCACGTTGCCCCAAGCCCCGTCCAACCTGGTCTTAAACA